GATCGGTCCACTGTGAAAAAGAAGCCACAAATTGGCGGGAAACTCTTCCTTGCACCGGGGTTCTCCTCTGCAGCAGAAAACTGTACCGTGCAACGAAGCTGTAATTTGGCGGGGATAATTCTAGTGCCAAAGCACACACAAAATCATACCTTTGGGTTATGACAGTGTGTAGGGATTGCCCAGCCTGTCCAGTACCGAAAGCAGAGGGGCACTGTAAACAGGCGATGATGTTGTGTGACATTTGTAGAAGTGCAGGTAAATGAACCTCAGATGTTGTTTATTTGGTCAGTGATGTGGCCTGTGTTGATCAGAAGGCACAGCTGGCATCTGAGTCTACAGCAAGACCTGGTGCTTTGGTGAGAATAGGACTTAGTTTGCTGGAGAGAAGCTGCTTGAGGTTGAGAAGCTGCCAGTAAGCCAGCTTCCCTACGGCTACCTTGAGGTGGTCATAGTTCCCCATGAGAGACGAGGTCGTTAATGATGTGCTGAAGTTGGGTTCTGTAGGTGACAACCAAAGGCCTTCTGTTGTCCTTGTTTCAGGGTTGCTGTTATAGCAGGTTGGAGTGAGGTCTGAATCTGGCTCTTGATTTTGAGTATGGCTTGGTCCCAGAAGTGAGCCTTGGGCTTCTCAAAGAAGAAAGTCACCTGAAGACCTTGGACATTTATGACAGGTGTTAGGAGTCCAAATGGAAGTCTGCGTCTACACGTTGCTGGATGGTGATGTTGCTATGGCGCTGTGCCTTAGTACTTCCTTTTGGAAGTACTAAAGCACGGCACAGTATAAGTGGTTACTGCACCCTGAACATAGCATACAAGTAAATTTTACAGCTACATCACCATAGTGGTGCACTATACCTGGGAAACGTGCTGCTACAGTGATGCAGCTGGCGATCACGTGTAGATGCACGTGCTTCCTACATCCCCTACATTGCCATAGGATGACATGTAGACATGCCAAGAGAGTTGAAGAGCAGTTCTCCAGCCATTTGCATTCAAATGTGTAATTCTATTCCACTCAAGGGCTGCTGACATGGTAAACCAGCTGCCTCTTCAGTTGTCAAGTCTTGCTAAGCTTGTGGCTGGTGACTCAACACTCTCCACTCTATTAAGACTTTAACCATTGCTCTTAAACTTTCCTTCTTCCCTCTACACATCCTTGAATGATTGTCCTCTCTAGCCAGTCCCCTTGTCTAACCAACTGTCCAAACTAACCCAACAGCCACCCTGAAGCAACAGCTTGAAATGACTGCACTTACTGTCTGATACTAAAAGGAGACTGAAGCCATGGGAAGGCCTGTCCTGGAAATATAAATCTGCCTTGCCTCCCTTCACTTTCTGTTTCAAGACACTTGAGGCAGAGACCTGCCCTCAGCCTACCCTGAAAACAATAGGCAGCCCCTGGCTTCCAATACACACTCCTTCCAGAGCTGTCAGCTGGCCAACACTTGTGTGCTTCCAGCCTGCTTCAGGAGGGGCACTCACCTCTGGGGGAGAGAAATGGGTACTTGGTAGACCAGCACACCCTTGCTCAAGGGCTTCTTTCTTAACTCATCTGATCTGAGCAGTAGGAGGGAAGGGATAAATAAGCAAATCCCAATACTAAAGCCAGAATCGTGATCCAGAAGAGGCTGTCCATGTCTACCATGGTGAAAGGCTATTGTGCTTTCCTTCTCCCATTGACAATGCTGTATACTTAGGAATACAACCAGTATTGAACTGTGCTGCAGAACACTCCTTCCCTTTCAAAAATACTCCAAAAATAGGAGAAAATGAAAGTCCCACAGCTTCCTAGAGACAGCAGCAAGTAGAGGAGGGGGATGCCAAAAGTGGGCCTTGCCTTTCTTCTAAGATGGGATTGGGGCACATCACTAGCAGTAGCTCCCATCCCCCAGGGGAGGGAAGAATATGCAGAAGCCAAGTCCTCTGCTTAGGGATAAAGTACTTAAATCTTACTTGCTAGGTGGCCACCACAAACCTGGCCAGAGTAGGACTATGTATTATTCTGTTCAAGAAATAGGCTGGGTCAGGGAGGCACTTGACTCAGAAGGTGCCACAAGAAACCTATGGGGCCGTACCAGCTTGCAGGATGGAGATCAAGCCAAGTGATTGTTCAGAGGCTTGGGGAAGGAAGGGGATGGAGAAGGAAGAGGTAGGCAATGTAAGAGGAAGGGGTGGGGACTGCTTTTGCTGGCTGCCTTTCTATGCCTACACTCAGCAGTGTTTCCTAGCACCAAAACTCCAACTTTTCCTCCAAACCAGGCCCAGGAAGATGCCTGTCACCTTGGCACCAGCTCTGCAAGCTCCAGCCTCTGCCTCCCAAGTCAGGGCAGGCTGGCAGCAAATGTGAGAAACCTGATGTCACCAGTCACTGCCCAAATGTGCAACCCCTGGCTGGTTTGGTGCCCTCAATCCCCCACCCAAATATGTCTTACAAATGCCCAGAACTGAGTATCACATGCTGACGGCTATGAGAAGTAGCATAACTAGCAGTGGGTGGCTGGGGCCCAAGGCCCAGGTGCCAGGTTAAAGTGGGAACTGGGGACAGGAATCAAGCTGGGGCAGGGAGCAGAGCCACACAGGCCTGTGGGGCAAGCTGGAGCTGTGCTGTGGTGGAGTTTGCACAAGGGGAGATGCAGGATCACCATGGCTCAGTGCTTCCCTGGCAGGTGGAAGCTACTGGGAGCCTTAACCTCATGGGTGGCACTGTAGCAAGGCTTTCCCCAGCAGCAGTGGCATCTCAGTTAAGGATTACGTCACTAGCTCAGCAAGCAGGCCAGGCCTCAGCCCACGGGGCATGCTAACTGCACTGGAGCTGGAAACGAAGCCTGGGCATCTACTTGGAGGTACAGCCTGATGTGCTACCTGAGCCGGCCAAACCTACTGCCCCCACCACAGCCAGCGATCCAGCCCCGAGCACCAACATAGTTCAGGGCTGCTCTCACCAGTCCCCCAGCTCTGGAGGTGCAACCCCCACCTCCCCTCCCCTCCCCCCCAGCCCCAACATGCCTCTGCTGGTCTGGTCTGCTCTGGCCTGTCCAGTTTGGCGTGGCTCCACCTTGTCTAATCAGCCTGCTCACTCCCTGGGTCTGACCTGCCTGCTCAGCCTGCTGCTGGGGTGTCACCCTAGTAAAGGCACTATCCCCATGCTGGGCTGGCTCTTGGCCCCACTCCCTGCTGGTGCCAATCTTTTGGGGTGGGGAGGAGCAACATTTACCCATATGGCAGTAGCACTCAGGGGGATATGGAGAGCCTGGCTAGGGGGAGTAGGGGGGCAGGGGGGTA